GCCCAGCCAAACTCCAGTTTTCAACAATGGCGGCCGCTACTAAGTTTTAAAATTACTCTTACTAATCTTTCTGGGCCACAAAATAAACTTTTAACATATTTTCAGGCGAGAAAGTAGCTGTGTGAACATCAAATATCTGCTCGTTTATCAAGATATCGCATATTTGCAAAAGTGCGCCGACGTTTTCGGAGACATCTCTTACCCCCCAGCTCGATAGCGAGCCGGGGGGTTCAATGGTCACTCAACCCGGCGAGAGCAGCGGACTCCCGGCTTCATCGTTTTCAGACCCCCGCTCTTTCACTACTCAGGTTAACATGACATATAAGCCACTCAGATAACTTAAAAATGTTATTGTTGGGCTTTTTTCTGTGTTTTATTTGTTCGTGAGTAAATCGGTTTGGCTGAGATTAAAGTTATTAGATTAGATTAAACTTTATTAATCCCCCGGGTGGTTTTCACACAGCTGAATAACGTCGAACAGAAAACTGATTAAACAGACGGTCGAGTTTATTAAACTCCACCCACACAGCGGTGACGCTAATCTGAAGGCTAGACCGTCCAATTTCACAGCCTCGCACTTCTGACCTTCTCGGTCTTCGAAGGACCCGGCGCACATAGACCACGAAGGCCGGGTCCTCAGGAGGATGCGGCCGATGTTTTGGGACAGACTGTGACTCCTCCCCTCCTGCTGCACCTGAACCAGCTGAGTGAGCGTCATGGATCGAGCTCCACCTGCTGATTCCAGTCTGTTGTTATTTTAATCACATTCATGTTTACAGCTGTTTGCAGATGTTGGGCTTTGAAACCGGAGCCGCCTAAACGTTAAATATGAAGTTTAGATTTTACTCCATCCTCCTCTCCTAGCCTCCATCTCCTCCTCTCCTAGCCTCCACCTCCAAACCTTCAGTTTCACTCCTGCTGCTCTGTCATACTCGTCTCCACCCGCTCCACCCTGCCTCACCTCTCTGTGGTGACGTCTTCTACAGCTGAGCGGTAAAAGCTATAATACCCGTGGTGAGCATGCTCAGATATGACTGGCCCGACTTGATCGGCCAATCAGGCGTGAGAAGATCTGAGGTGAATTCAGTTGTTTCACAGGTGGAGGTGTGAGTGGGCGTTAATCAGCTGCCGATGGTTGGTTGTGTAGGCCTCCACCTCAGAGGTGGAATAAACTGCCATTTCCACTCCAAAGAGTCACATGACAGTCGAGTCAATGACTCTCAGGACCGCCTCAAAGGTCACGACCTCACTAGGTCTCACGTACCAGGGACTCCCCCTGAGTTGGATGCAAGGTGAAGCATCTGGGCCTCCCTCCACCCACAGGCAGGAGGAGGACGTGGCAATGTTAGATAAAGGTGGCCTCAGGTGTGACAGCTCAAGTTATAAGTGTGTGGTCATGTGACCACTTTCACAGCTTTTGAGGCGTGGCGAGGAGGAGGAGCTGTGCATGAGCATGCTCCCTCCATGTTTGCATGTTCATGCTGTGATCCTTGTATACAGTTTATATGTAGTTCAGCAGCCTGAGCAGGTTCAGCTCCGTGATCACAGGCTTCCCTCACAGCAGTTCACACGTTGCTGCGCGTCACACTGTCTCATTACATGTTTCTGGTTAGCGCACCTGTGTCAGGGCGGAGCCAAAGGTCAGCCGTGTGTCCCAGACAGATAAAGGGTTAATAAACGATCACTATTCATATTGGGCTGCTAGTGCTGGCAGTGGCCTGCGCTGAGATTTAGCTGAACTCCGGCTGATTCTGACCAATCACATCAGTCCGTTTCACTCCGAGCCGTCACGGTTCAGCGGGTGTTCTGAGGGCAGCCGCGGCTGGCGGGCACTAGGGGGTGCTGTGGAGCTGTGCTATCACACGTATGCCTGACAAACCGTCCGGGGTGCAGTTTGTGGAGCACATTAAACTCCGAGGGAACGGATGTGTGCAGCTTCCATGTTTCTACTAATAGATGCACAATATTAAAATAATAAATATTCCAGAGATGAAGGTGACCGTTTTGATTTTGTGGCAGTGAGGTTCAAAGGTTAGAGCTCAGGTGGGGGCAGCGGTCACTGAAACCATTTCCTCTCTGTAATCTGAGCTGGTTTCTACTGTAATAAATAGAAGAAGCAGCTTTTCTATTCATACTTAATGAACGTACGGCTCAGTGCTGCTGTAACCATCACCTCCAACA